GACATTATAATCTGCTAACAAAAGTGTGACTCATCTAGGGTCTGACGATATACCAACTGTTCATCGAATCAATATCACGAAATACACTTACGAGGGAGCCATATGTTGCAACACTTTTTTTGTGTAACAATCTTATTCTTACCATCACAGCACTAAATAGAGATAGATATTTTATTACAATTTGTTTTTGAGATCCAAGTTGCGCTTCCAAGATCACTGTGGGCTGATGGCAATACTAATGCAATTATGGCTTATTTGAACCGATAGAAACTTTTCATTGATTTTTTCATGTATAAGCTAGATGATGCATCCTATATAATATTGTCATTTACGAAGATATGTTCACAAGAAAAATAAAAGCTCGAATCTATTGATTTTCGTTTGATTAAAATTATAATTAAACTGAAAATGGTGTGGGTGGGTGTGTAAGTATGATTGTTGCTCTTTTGTCACAACCAAACCCACACCCCAACTCACAAACGGGATTTGAAACAAAAATTTTCAACAAAATATAAAACTTGCATGTTCATGTTTGAGTCATTCTTTCTTTCCTCAAAGGAAATAATCTGATAGCTAGAAATGAAACAAATATTAAGTTATTTAGTCAGTATACAGTGATACTCAGCCAAGTCAAAAACTTAGATAAAAATAGAGCAGGAATCTGATATAAAAATTTTCTTCAACTCCGTCGACATAGATGTTCATTCTTTCTTCGTCGTTGCAAACAATGAGAGAACGCAAAAATAATCATACTGTTGGAAGAAGTAAAATTCAGTTTATAGGAGTATGGAAGAAATGAAAACATAATAATTCACGTGCTCGTCGCGAAGTAGCGACATGAGAACACTAAACTATCGGAGCAGCATCAGAATAAAAATGCAATTTACCGTCAGTGAAGTTTTCTTTTCCTTTTGTTGTTGCCTATAGAGAGAGCAAAGCAACATGTTTATTCCTGAAGTAAAAATTAACGCACACAACTTTGATTGAAACAATCGAGGAATTAACGGATACAGATGGTTTTCGATCGAGAAAGAGTTTAGGTTTGAATTGCTTTGATTAGAGAAAAATAAGAATGTACAATAAACAAATATAAATTCTTCTTTGATTCATAAACCGCTAAAAAAATATCTTATTTTCAGATACAATTATAATATTTATATAGCTTGCCTGCCATTACTTTGAGAGTTGTAAAGAACACTGAGTCCAAGAAAATTTCGTTATTTTAAAAGCCTTTGTCTAGTTTTATAGATCTACAACAGCATGTGGCAATGGCGGCAATCTCGTCAACAACCATGGCGAACTTATTCTGACATTGAAAGCTTGATTATTGAAGATGTTTACAATCATGGTGGACAACGTATCGAACTAGAAAATAATGTAGTAGTTGACGTTAAAAAAGGCTTGCATATCGTTGCCAATTCTAAGAAAAATGACAAAGCAGCAGAAATCAGACGATTATCATTAGATTGTGAAGATACCAAAGCTTACAGAAATCGAGCAGAAAGAAATGATCGTTTCACTCTACCACCACAAATTATGGAAAATACGAATGACAGTTCATCATTGGGTGCTGGAAACTGGAATGGATCCCGTTTCGTATTCGAATGGCAAATGAGGTAATTTCAAGGCTTATGAATAAATGAAAGATCCTGATTGAACGTTTTCATTAGATGTTCAAATCTCGAATCACTTCCATATGGTGATATCATGCGCCAAGCGCTTGACGGAATTCGAATTGAAGGTAAAGCAATAGGCCATGCTAAACAATCTCAATGGATTGTAGATCATTGGATGCCAGTGACCAAAGAACCTTTTGAAAATATTTGTCAAGCATGTATACATTTGTATACTATGGAAAGTTTTCTCTATCGTCTGGTCAATGCAACGTTGCGCAATAATGATTTCTCGAAAATTGACACTCTTGGACCTTTTTGTTTTTTACTCTTTCAGTTTAATTTTGCGCCTGAATATCAAAATCTTCGATTTTCAGGTCGTGTGTATCGCACCGCTGAATTAACATCTGCAATGGTGAATGAGTATAAGCAAGCTGTAGGAAAAGTTCGTTCATGGCTTGGTTTAACATCGACAAGTCGACAACAAGCAATAGCTGAATCTTTCTGTGCAGCAACAGTGTTGTTCATTATTGAAGTTCGAGAAACAGCCACTGATGCAGCACGATTAATTGCCAATCTATCAGCACATCCCTATGAAGATGAAGTAATAATTCGAGCTGGGCGACATTTTACAATCGATAGAGTGGAACCAAATCAATCATCAAATAATAGCATAAACACACTGATCTATTTGACTATTGAATAAAATCATCGTACCGATGTCCTTAACTAATTATTCCATAGGGTAGTCATAACTTAGGATCGACCAAAGATTTAATCAGTGTCAAAAATGTTAACTTTCATCGGAACTTTGATGTCCATGTCAAAAATGTTTCTCTTAATAAAGTCAAAACATCAAAACATTATCATACACTTATAACTGCAATCCGTATAATACTTTAAAAAGCTATAGGAAGAATGACCCCAACTAATGGAAATTCTTTTCACCTATACAAAACCCTTCAAGACAACTATCTCTCCATACAGACACTCATTCAACGGAAAAATGAAGTTTTATAGTATCAATGAGCAGTCCTACTGGAAAAAACATATCGAAAAACGAAAAGAATAATCCCTTCATAAGAAAAATTGTTAGATACTGCACTGTTTATATATATATGTATGTATATGTTGTGGTTAAAATTAAAATTCAATCAAATTTTAAATTTGCGTAGTCAATAGTGAAATTTTAATTTTGACCATACAAAATAAAAATGTGTTTCTTATGAATAAAAAGTCTTAAAGAAAGAAAAACAGTTAAGAAAAAACAAATCTCTTGTATTTTGAAAGTGACGCTCTTACAAAATTTTTTGTACATCGGTTTGTCGAAGCATAAACCTATTAGGATTGCAACACAATGCTTTTTAGTTATCTCAAAAACTATAATGCTTAGAAAGCTCATTGAGACGTTATTCAACGCACTCCATCAAGTTCTATTAATGCAGAAAAATGTGTTCATTTCGTTAAACTCTTGAGGGTGTGGGTATGGGTGAGGAAGTGTGGTGTGGGTGTCACAATGTTTAAATAACCACACCCACACCTCACCCTGATGCACTAATAATCTTAAGCTAACTCTTCGTAGACTCAATGCATCGAGCTGAAATTTTTACTGTGAGATGCTCAATACAGAATGCATCTTTCCTGAAAGCTTCAGCAAGGTTGGACCATCCGCAGCTAAAATAAAGAATTGAATAGAGATGGGAACTTTAGGGTATGGGGAAGGGCTTAAAATGACTTTTTTTTTTCTTTACTTCGGCTTGTAGTTAATTTTTCCTAGGTGAATTACGCGCATTTTCAATAAAACGAAATTCTTGAGTTCTATAATATCTCGAAGACAGTTCACCTTGTATATCTATCTGCTCACATGCTTCTTTAACAGTACTCATCACTAAAGATATATGTTGTCATATATAATTTAGTAAGCCACACATTTCAAAAGTAGTGTAAACACTTGAATAATCATTGCATTCTTCTCAGGGTGGGGCGTGGATGTGAGTGTAGTTATGCCCTCGTACTTGTTCACACCAATGCCGCAGTCAACCTTACGCCCACACTCAAAATGAGTCTCTAGAGAAAACAGCACTAAATCAATTTCAATGCAAACCTTCTTTTCAAAAAGAAATGTTATCTAAAAAGATATGTTTGTTAATATTGAATTAAATTGGCCGTCATCGATTCATTATTTCTCCTTCGAAATCATTCAAACAATTGAATTCAAATCATTTTTTTAAAAATGTTTTCGATGATACTTTGCTCAATCGAAATTTTTATTTATTTCAGATAGAATCAAGTACTATTAACTGATTCCTACGATAATAAGATTGATTAACATGAAGTTTTAATGAAGCTCTAATATTAGCTGTTCTATTCTCTTGGTAAATTTAGCATATCAAGAAGGACGTGGGTGTGGATGTGGGTTGTAGGTTTGATTATATGATAAGAGAATATCCGCAGTCACAGCCACAGCTACAGCTACGCCTGCACCCACACCCCACCAACACACTCACACACGTATCCACACCCTGCAGGGCGCCACAAATTCCAAAAACCTCTTGGTGAGCTGTGCGAAAAAAAACTGTAAAATATCATTAAGAATCATCTCTTATTTCAAATCCATAAAAAAAGTTTATGTAGTTGGGGGAAGAAAAATGGTCTTATCCGATCTCGTTCTTTGTAAGTCATGATTACTTCCATTTTAATATCTCTCTTGATTTTTTTTATATGAAATCCATCATATATTCATATGTAATTCGATATTATCTTAATCAATATCATTCATCAATAAATCATTTTTCAAAAATGAATATTAAATTCTGCTATGTTGTAAATTCTGTGTTACTTTATCAAAATGATCGATAATTTTTATTTTTTTTTATTTTTTGGAAATAATTTTACTTCATTAACAACGAATTAAAGTAACGGATATGTAACTATGAAACATGCACTTTTTTCTAAGGGCATTATCTCACAGATTTTTTCAACTATTGTCTTAAACAGAATGCAACAGATGGCAGAAATAATCATATTCGCCGAAAGGCCAGTGTCTTCAGCCTCTTTCATATAACTAAATACTACCTACAATGTCGTATGAAATCAAAGTAACGACTCATAGGCTGTGACAATATATAATCATGTTTTTCCAATATTCAATTTCTTTTTCCGTTTAAGTATTAATTTCGCTTAAAGCATACAACGAATCATACCATCAATCATACTCTAATCTGTTTTCAACAGGCATTAGATATAATCTATCGAAAATGTGATACTTAAGCTATTATGAAAAGAATATATTTTCATTCATCGTAAATTACAAATCATTTCTATTCTTTTGATTTCTATTTTATTTGGATTATTTATTTAAACTAAAGAGAGACAAAGAGCATGTCGATGTGTCTTATACTGAATGCTATTATCCTCATTTTCATATCATCGGTCTCAGCTAGTGTACCACGAACAGATGTAACAGTTTCAGGTATCTCTTCAGGAGGTGCAATGGCTACACAGCTACGTATTGGATTTTCAAAAGATATCAGTGGTTGTGGTATACTAGCAGGTCCACCTTATTATTGTAGTGCCAGTGGATTAACAACTGCTGTTCGTATGACTGGTCCTCCATCATTCATTTTTGTTTCGAATCTAGAATCGAAAGTAAAATATTATGCATCAAATGAGTATATTGATGATCGTTCAAATATTGCTGGTGATCCTGTTTACATTTTCTCGGGTAAATATGATAAGATAGCTTATCCTGCTGTTGTCAAATTAGATGCAGACCTTTATACACGATTGAATGCAACGGTTAAAACAAATTTCGATACGTCAGCTCATCATGGTTTCCCAACTGGAAATTTCGGCGCTACATGTATTTCATTGAATCTGGCAAATTATATTAACAATTGATAGAAATAAATCAATTCTATACTTCAAATACAATAGATTTACTTTGTTTTTCTAGTAATTTCAATTTGGCCTTTGGCATGTTTAATCATTTCTGCGGTGGCAGTCTGATCAAGCCAGCAACCAATTCGAAAACTCCACTGCTCGGTCAAATGCTCACATTTGATCAAGAAGCGCTCATGAATTTTCTCGATACGTTGCAACAAGAAGGAATTACAAAGTCTTTTCTATCATTATGGATTAAAAAAAATATGTATTTATACACTCCTGAAGGTTCGAAATAGTCATCTTCAGATCTATTCAATTTAATAATGTTCAGTGAATCGTCAATCAAGAAATCAATAACAATACGTGGCTCTTCAGCTAATTTCAACGATGAAGGTTTTATCTAATTTCCATCAGCATGTGCCAATGATAAAAAATGTTCAATTCATGTTGCCTTATAAGGCTACCAACAAGGTTTTTATCTATTTAGTTTCTCAATAAATCTAAACAGATAATTCATTTTTTTTTAATCTTATAGGAAAATCCTTTGCCGGAGATGTGTTTGCTACGAAAGCTCGCTATTTAGAAGTAGCTGAATTAAATAATATTATTGTGATCTTTCCACAAGTTTGACGATCACTAATGCTTCCAACAAATCCGATGGGCTGCTGGGATTGGTGGGGATATAGTCATGCCTATTATGCTACTCAAATGGCTCCACAAATGGCAGGCGTCAAGAAAAGGATTGATACAGTACGCACAATCACAACAGTATTTTCTGAAATGAGTTAAACAGAAATAACTCATTCTGATTATTATTTGATCGAATAAAAAAAGCTTGTTAGTGCAGCCCCATTGGGGCTGAAATGTGGAATTCACATATCTCATTTGATTTCATTATACTAATGGTACAATACCCAATATTTAAAATCTCCAAAAGATAATAGTTCTTTTATAAAGATAATCGATTATTAGAAAAGGTTAAACTTTTATCTCCATATATCGAACAGAAATTTTTCTTTTTACGAAGTTGCCAAGGTCTGTAATGGGGGGGGGGGGGGGGGTCTGTAATGTTCTCTTTAGTTGCTATTGTCTGTAAGAGGAGGGACAGGGGAGGGGGAAGCCGTAAAACCTCGAACTTAAAACTTACACTCACTATTTTCTTCGAAAATATATGTGAGTTCCACAAAACTAATAGAGACATTCGATAAATGTTTCTTCGATTATATTAATCCAGATATGGTATCAAATAATGCATAAAGCGAAAAGCTTCACTGTTTGTTTTTCATGAAATTCATTAAGATTTCTTTTTCGCGAAATTGTAGCAATCAATCGAGTCGAAAGAATTCTAATATCAAGGAAATTTTCAATACGCAAAATTTACTAAAATGAAAATTGATTTATTGACAATTAGTGCTCAATAGTTGAAGAATATTTCAATAAATGCGTGTATTTAGTTTAATGGAAGAAATCTAACGGCATTTAGAAGAACTAACTTCATTGTTATTAACTGAAAGATTTTACAATTGAATTATTCGATTTCAAAATCTTTTTTTAAAGTTTGCATGCAATATATTCAAGAAGAAATTAATTTGTGGATCTGGGAAGCAAAAAAATCTACATCACATCCATGCCCTCAGAATGTACGTTTAGAGTGAAAACATAATTCTAACGAAAGAGGTGAGTGTGGGTGTCATTGGCTCATCTACACTCATACCCACATCCACATCGACATCCACACCCACACCCTCGGTGAGTAGAAAGCTTTCGGAATAGGATGGTTCCGGATATGGAGGATTTCCGGTCGGAATACTGCGACCCTGTTGCGGTCACTTTACTTTTTCGGTCGGTTCCAGTGGGAATTGACCAGAAAATACGGCGTTTTGCTGCTGTTTCCGACCGGATCCGGAAGGTGGAATTATGCTTGCTACTCGAGCTATATATAGTTGTTTTTTGAGTTATCACATTGAAACACATGTTACTTGTCGTATTATTTGTGCTAGTCGGCGCTATTGTTATGGTAGTTGTCGCTGTGCTTAGATAGACTCCAGCAAAAATTGCAAATGCTAGACAGATCAAGATAATCACACTGAGAAGTGGGAACCATGCAATTCGTGCCAGTGAACATGTCTTCTTATTGCCATCAATATTCACTCTGTTTCCTAAAACAGATCGGTTTCTATTTTGATAATTGTCTCTCGTGAAAATCAGCAATATCAGCTGCACATCGCTTTGAAGCAGGAGCTTACCTTTCGTGTTTTGTTGGTACCTCATGAATGTTATTCACGAAACGTGGATCGAGCGACTGCTTACGATTAGTAGTTTTCAATGCTGTAGAATTCGTTTGTTTTATCGTTGGTTTTTTCTTTATTGGCGATTGTTTGTTAGGGAATTGGTGACTATTATTGGCCGGGGTGTGGGGGTGGGTGTGGGTGTGGGTGGGTGTGAGTGTGGGTGTGGATGGGTGTGGGTGTGTGGGTGTGGGTGTGCGTGTGGGTGTGGGTGTGAGTTTATGTAAGAGATAAACCACACCCAAAACAACACCCACACCCACACCCACACCCAATCGTGATCAAAGCAACTAAACACGTACTGTTTTTACGATACTAGACGTGAAAAAATAGTTTTTATCCAATATTTGTCTACTTTTATTAAAAAAAGTATTCTTTGTCTTTTTGATATCACAAATGTTTGCAAAAAAACTTGTACAAAATCAAATATTTCTTTAACCATTTTTCTAGTTGTTAGAAGTAATTACCCAACTTATTTTTCTACTGGTAAATTACTGCTAGATATACTCCAGGTTGAGTAATACGGCACTGTACTCAACTAGTAGGTCTTATTGAGTAACGTATTGCAATGTTGATGTATCCGGTCTATAACAAAACTCCGATATTTTACCAGAAAAAGTGAGTTACAAATATATTTAAATTCAAGTACTCTGTGAAAAGTAAAAATTCGCACAACCGCACTAAACATATACAAACTTTCAAAGAAATTTCTCTGATCTTTTTATTTTATTGATTTTATTTACACAAATATGAAATTTTAATTATTATGTTCTTGTAATCCAAAATTTTTGAAATAGATTTCTTTTCGTAAAATGTCATTGGACTTAGTTGATAACGAGGAAAAAGTCACCATTGAAAATGAATGGTTAAAACCATGTTATAGTAATGAAACAGAAATCAAAGAATTATTATCAACAATTAAAAAAGGATAAATTAGATATAAATGAAATGATCGATAATAATGGAACTGGTATATTACATATTTGTGCCTAACGTGGTTATGATAAATTATTATCGTATATGTTAAATGACTTCGATGATTATTTTAATATTAATGTAAATATAATTGATAAATATGGACATATACCATTACATTGGGCATGTATGGAAAATAATGTTGAATGTTCGAATATATTAATTAAACATAATAATATTAATTTAAACATGAGAAATTTTGATGCTTCATTTATAGTTGATCATCAAACATCCATATATTTAATTGGTGGTCAAACATGTTTACATTTTGCTTGTGAATATGGTCATATTGAATGTATTTCATTATTATTACAAAATATGGAAACGGAATCCATAATGATTGAAGATTTCAATGGTTATACACCTTTAGATTTAGCAATTATGAATTCAACACGTAATACTAAATGCTATGAAATTGTTAAATTATTAAATGAATTTAATATGAATGAAAATATTGACGATAAAAATACACAAATATTGGATCAAAATGATTACTTTATTCAATTTTCTAAAGATAAATTAAAAGTTCAAAAGCGTATTGCAAACAAAATGAAAGATACTTTACTAAACATGCATGAAAATTGTTGTCATACATGTCGAAAATTTTATCAAATATCCGTTGATGTTACGAACGAAAAATAATCCAAATGAAATGATATTATTTTTAAATATTTCCATAACAATAAACTCAACATAATAAAAATGTGATCTGTTAAATTACATCCTTATAACATAAAATTTATTCAGAATCGTCTTTTGAAATGTTTTTTTTCCCTATATTTTAACTATCTTAACAGAATATTCACTTATTGAAATCAGGACAAATATTTGCCCGTATTTAGACAAAACCATAAATGCAAAAACCGAATTCTCTATCACTCAAAGAGAGAAGGGTAGGATGTATAGGTGTGGTTATTGTCATCTGCATTTATCCGCACCCACATCCACACCTACACCTCAGACTCACAATGCTGAGATTTCCAGAACATAAGCCGCAAAAGCTACAAAAGTCTTTTCTTTCAGAAGCAAGAAAACCCATTTGTTGCATCAATTAGACGCAAAATAATTGGTTGAAAGCATTTTGTTGCTGATCTAATTATTTAGAGCAGATAAATTCATTGTACCAAAGCAAAAGGAAAAAATAATGAGATTGAAAGCAGTGCTTCTTTTTGCCTTCTTACTCATCGTAGCACTCACGTCAATCTCGGATCAAAACAATAAAACGTAAAATTAAATTGAAAATGAATTGAATTTTCAGAAAAAAATCTATCGAATAAAATAAGCCAAAAAGTGTAAAACTTAACATCCAGTTTGTTGATATAAAATTTTGATATAGTGTAATACTAAAAAGATTTTCGTAATCCGACTTTTAGCAATCGATGGTGCTCATGTTACATTAATGCGTATTTCGAAGTTGGAACTAAAAATAGAAGAAAGCGTAGAACGGAAAGTGTTCTCGAATATACTGTTTAAAACTTATCTTTATTTGCATTTCAGATATTAAAATTCGGGCTTTTCCTATATCTTATTAGCTGAGATATTTTTTAGTAAAGAGTTTAAAACTGGTAACACATTGTTTTTTTCGCTTACTCAATTTCTTCGCTAGACCTTAGTATTTCAAACGCAATTCAATTTCGATACAATTCTATATTTTATTATTGACGTAGACACTTATTTCTTATTCCAACGATTGAGTTGTCTGTTATATTGAGTAGGAATCCAGAAAGGAGGCGCTTCATTAGATCTAAGTATTTTTTGTTTTTGTTTTATAAAACAAATAAACCGAGGTCAACATGATCGGCAACGAATCGTCTGTGTGATGGATTTCTAATTAATTTTCAAGGAATATCATCACAGTAGGCTAATGTTCAAATTCATTGGACATCGTTGAGTTTAATCAAAATATGTGCTTTGAGAAATAAAATAGTTGCATATCTCAATTAAAAGAAAGTTTTATTGATTCTACCCTACTATTGAAAAATTTTTGTGAACATCTATTCTTGATCTCAGTTTTCAATCGAAAAAATCATAAACTGATTTGGCTCTTTACTTCTCATATATACTATCATTTGATTTTAGTTATTACCTACGGATCTCCTACAGCAAGTCACATAGGATTAAAAGAGCAGTGATTTGATGTGATACGATGTTTACGACACTTGTTTGTGTATTGCATACAGAAGTAAAAAATAAATTGTATTGTTGATGCGGTTTGAAGAAAAAAATGGGTGAGGGAGCAATGAAGTGACATTTTCAATTAAGTCTTGCTGATGTGAACATACACCTCTTTATTTTAAAGAAACCTATGACATGTACATTTTACCATCACATCGTTTTCTCATGTCTGCAATGTAGAATACAATGATCCATTAGTGAAGTGAAACACATACGCTCATTTTTTTGTCGAACACAATCGCACACTGGAAACAATATCAACTCGATAAACATAGTAAAACATGAGTTAATCATTCTTATCTAGTATTATTAACTATACTTGCAGATCCACACGATATCCTGCGTTTTCCTTCGCTATCGGTATCATCTGCCGATAAACTCTCTCATCAAGTGCGTAATTCACCATTGCGATTTCTGTCTCTATTCTTACGAGTCATGCAATCTAGTGTCAGTATTCATCGGCAAGAGATATGCGGTCTTGTTCTGCTATCCACGTGAGCATTTGATCACCCAAAAATAATATCAATCGGACGAAATATCAGTCTGTCAATCCTCGAGATACTTTGTTCTCAGTTATATTTTTAAAAAGGTGAGTATGGGTGTGAGTGTAGGTGTGGCTGGGTGTGGTTGTGTTAAAGAATATGATTCACATCCACACTCGCTCACATCCACACACCCACACCCTTTTTTGAATCATAACAAAATGTTTGAATTCCATCGATAATAAAAGATATTAAAATATTTCTATTGACTAAAAATCAATATCTTTATTACTAGTTTTTAGTAATAACTAATCAATACTATTATTGGAGAATTTTATTGCCAAAATCAATGAAAAAATGAACTTTATGCTTTACTATATGTATTATAATGATCATTAATATGATTCATAGTCACATACTAATTAATAGTAAATTTTCTCTTCATTATTGGAAAAAGAGAGAAGTTATTATACCATTCAAAGAATATTTTTATTTCAAGAAAAAAGAAACGAATCCATATAATTTCTGTTATTAGTGGTACCAAAAGAAATTGAGTTAGTACATGAAAAAACAAGACGAGAAGTGTTATAGTAAATTGTTACTGTTCTTGATATCTTAAGCGTTGAGGGCAAGTAGTTTACAAATATGTGAATCATTTTTGCATCTAATGAGAAATAAAATATAAAAGATACAAAAATAATATGTTTCGTAAAATAAAATATACCCAATGATAAATTCTTCTTTATTCAATTTCCTGTCACCATTAATATCAAGGCTTCTCATGATTTCCATAGCTCGTCTCTTTGGATCCTTTTCACCTTTACGATCAGTTTCACCTACAAGATCATACTGAAAAAAACAAGCAACAAGAGCTTGCTGTATCCATAGATTTTAATTAAAACTTTACGATAGTAGTGATCCAATTCGTCAATTCTCTTTGATCGATTTGTCCATCATTTGACATATCACATCTACATATCAAAGGAATCGTGCATTAAACAAACATATTGAAGAAATTTACATATCAAAAGCAGCACTAAGACGATCCTCTAGATTTGCTTGACTTGAAACTGAAAGAGCTAAAAGAAATTCTTCAAAATCAATTGAACCATTACCATCAACATCAAATCTATCAAAAGCATCTCTAAAAATCAATAGATATTTTACGGATTAAATGATATCGTTAAATAAGACTATACTTGCAAATTTTGTCTGCTTCTCCATCTTCATAGAATTGTTTATAAAGTCTAGTAAATTGTTTTTTGCTTAGTTTACCATTGGGACAATCATCAATAAATCTCTAATTTCACAGAAAATAAATGGAAAACAAAAAAAATCATTGATTAAACTAACCTCATACCAATCTCGTATTTCTATATATAATAAAAAAAAATGAAATAGACAAGAAAATAAAACTAAAAGACAGAAATGACCTTGCTCAGAATAATTAGTATTTGCTTTGAGTAGAGCGATATCTAAAATTGATAAAGTAAAACAGTAGATTTTAAGATAAATCGAATCATGCTTCATACGTTTTGGAGTTAATTCCGTCGATTCAGTTGATTTGCCTTCTTTATTACCCATATCAAATTATGATTCTTACGATAACAGAAAAAAGAAATCTACAAAGAGAAGTTTCCTTTGTTTAAAAAATCAATGAGAAATAGACGAAATGAAGCAAGCAATCGATGTGTTTCATTCAAGTGTATATGTTGTGAATCACGTGACGAATACGCCTAGAAATGGTGTTCTGGTTTTATGCATGTTTGGTTTTTCGATAAAATATAAAAATCTACACATGATTATGACGAAAATCAACTGTACAAAACAACATAAGTTTAAAGAATGAAAGTATTTTTCAATTATCTTAATCGACAGAAATAGTTGGAAAGTAACATACAAATATTTGTAATTCATTCATTTTTTCTTCGACTACTATCAATGCAACACATTAACAATAATTTGAATAGTGCATTTCAAGTTTCTTTTAGCTAGTAGTTCTACATGAAAAAAAAAGAAGAGAAATAAAAATCTTGATTCGGAATACTTGCTCGAATACAACATCGAACATTTGAAGAAAAATATCAACATACTTTGAACATTCTTTGTTGACAATAGACTTACGTCAAGTTATTCTTCGATGTCTTTTACAAAAGAATTTATCAAGCAATGCATAGTACAACTCAATAATGTTATCCATGTTATATTTCTCCAAAGGAAGCATATCAGTAGTGTACTAACCGAAGAAAAACAAAACTAATCAAGATATGTGTAATACTGCTAAGATTTGTCAGACATAGATAATTGTATACTTTCTTCTTGTGCCTATGCATAGAACTTTTTGTTGATGTTATTCTATAAATAAATCATGCTTATGTCAATACTGATGATAGGTTATTTTTGTAAATAATAAATTACTTTATATATGAGATATTTTTAGATAAAAAAGTTGAAAGAAGCTGACAGAATTCATATGAAGAAAAAATATTTTATTTTGTCATAATGCTCTTCTATTGACATTATTGTTAAGTGTACTTGACAAATTTATTGCATGCATACATAGTAAAATATCTCATTTATAATTTTAACAGTCTTTTAGATAAACTCTGTAATGCAATGAATATGTGACCATTCTTCGTTCAGGGTTCGAATAGATTTTTGAATTTTGCACGTTTTCGTTCCTCTCTTTCATCTATTTTGTGACGCCATATATTGAATTATTACATTCGACAGTATATACAGAATGTGATATTGTTCCTGAATTAGTTAAATCTATCCACTTAGTTTTTCCATGTTAATAAATCAGCATTTGTGAATCGTGCTTTGTATGAGGACACCAATTAAGGTAGGTATTAATGCTACTCTCCATACATAAATAAATTTGTCGTGGTCTGGTGTTCTAGAATCTTAAAAAGGAAACAGTTTTGGTTTTATCTGACAGTAAAGAATATTTTATTTTGTTATAATTACAACGAGACACACTACATTGAAAATAATATCTTTATTTAAATTATTTTGCGACGGTTCAAATGGTGCTAGGAATTAGTCAGTTATTGATTCGAATATCAAGTAATAAACCTTTAGTAATTGGTCAATAGGAATTGGCTGATTTGCTGTAATCATTTTATAAAATAGCCATACGAACGGATGTAGACAAGTGTTTATCTGCATGCTTTGATAGAGGTAAATGCATGAACTCATAAATGCAAACATTTGTTAAATTCACCTTTGGATACTAATGCATCTCCACGTTTCACGAAAGGTTTCATCAAACTATGATCATTTCGTAAAAGTAAAAGACGTGTTTTTTTATGATATTCGGAGGCAGCATTGAGCTTTAGATAAACCTTTGCAGTCTGACTAGATGTACAGTATTCAATAGAAAGAGCAATGAGCTTTTTCGCTTAGTGTAGGTGTTGTATTGGTGAATTAATGTTTAGCAATGAGTAAGCATAAAATCCGAAATTTTCGATAGTGACTATTGGATCGATCACGTGAAAACGTTTCTTTCTCACAGCAATCATCATGAGAAATTTATTTTCATTCAGTTTTTCGTTTGTATCCGCACCTGCATCACATAGCAATCGGGTGCGGGCGTGGAGTGTGGGTAAAGAAAAGATCAACATCCACACCCAACTGACTCCAAGGTTACCGAAATTTTCAGTTAGTTTTGGCAGAATACAGCGACTTGTCTCGAATTTCCTACTGATTTCTATGATATTCGTTCTTCAGAATGATTGATCTGAAAAAGTCTACTGATAGTTGTCACAATTAGAATTTGTCTTAAACAAGATTAACTTATGAAAATTGAATTACAATTCATGATATTAGTTTTTATTGCATATAAAGAACTACATGACAAAGAACTTTTAGTCATGATCTTGATCTCTTTGCAGTTCTCTATCGTTGGTGAAAACCAACCAATACAGTGAAATTTATGACGTCTTTCTTATTTGAGAAGGTTCTAAAATGTAGCGATATGACGCAATTGATTCTACGAAAGAAGTACATAATGACTTAACGTATAAAATCGCGCACATTTACGATTATTTCTTTTTCGTATTCTGTATACAAGTGACATTTCATGAACGCATTTCAATGTATAATTTTACTCTGTTCCTCTCTGTCTTAATCAGCGTCCAAAAATGTCACTACTGCACTCCTATATAAGTAAGTGGCATTTTGTTTCCTTTCTCATTCTGAACATTGAAAAATCGAATATTTGTAAATATGAGTACTGCACCTCCATCCTATGATAGGAAAGCTTTTTTTGTTATATTTATCCTAATAAGATATTTTTATTTTTTTCCAAAAGTTAGGCGAAGAGGCTGCTTATCATCAAAAACAACCACAACCAATGTTACAACCAGTTTATATTGCACCTGCTGTGCTTGTTCTCGGTGATAATCCAATACCATATACATGCCCGAATTATCAACAGCAGATTGTTACAAGAACAGAAAAAAAGAATGACTTATTAATTTGGCTTGCATTTGGTGGTTTCTTTATCCTAGATCTTTGGTGTTGTTAGATACCATTTTGTATCGGTTCTCTGAAAATTTGTTTCAAATTTTGTTTTTGTATAAAATTATCAATTACATTATATGATAATATTTAGGATAGAGAACATTATTGTCAATATTGTAGTACATTCATTGGTGTATAAAAAACAACTTTAATCATAAAAAAGGATGAACAGTAGCTTAAATCTCTTTTTTTCTTTTTTTTCTTCTTCTTCTACAGACATTTGACTTTGAGCACTAAATCGATCAAGTTGTATTTCATGAAACATGAATTTAATCTCTTGTCTGTTCTTGTATGAAGTTGAATTATAGAGTTGATATATTGAAAAATCTATAATTAATATTAAAATATATTACTTTTAAAATTAAATAACAATTTGTAATATAACATGAATCGCTACTACGTATCGAATTGAACAAAAGTCGTTGCTAATATTGTTATTAAGAAAAGAAGATTACTATATTTATTTTATACAAAGCGAGCAACTCAAACTATTCACACATATTCAAAATCAGGCATTTTACATTGGTGGAAACATACAGCGTTTGGTAAAGTTGAATTTTTGATCAACATGATTTACTTACTTTAATTTGGACCACATAAATAATGTAGTGATTAGTTTTGTTACTTTTTTCCTGTTATACATTGTTGTTATGAAACTGATGAAATAGTAGCGATGAACTTTATAGATGTTGAAGATAATTTCTCTTTATGATGACTTGGCTTACTAATTGGTGAAGTCATATTTATCGATCTGTAGAAACCTTTCTTTTTGTATTCTTTTCATTATAATTAACTAAGCATTAATTTAATTTGGTATTTTCGAATATCTGGATCGAAACTCTATATTTACAGAGTTTTGGATCTATGTATGAAATTTTAAGATGAATGTATAGATGAAAAAGCCTTCATTTAACTGAATCAAACAAAGTGTTTCTTCGAATTTTTTTGGCTGCTTCGCTGAATCATATTGTGATTTGTTTTTGCCTTCGATAGAAAGTTGTACAATGCTCCTCTCTCAAACAGTGAAAAACGCTGACCAATACGTTTTTTTTTATTATAAAGTGATTAGAAAACAACCATTCTCTTTCGTTTTCAGAAATGGATAATAGTTAATCCTTAACGATATTTAATGGGAAGCCATTCTCCGACGGGATAAACACTATTTTAAGAAGGGATCATAATGATATCTTGATCAACAGAAAAGAGTAAAATATTTCCTGATGTAACAAATGTCTGTGAAATTTCTTCTTCGCATTTTTTTTTCTCTAAAAGTATGTATAGTCCAATGAAGTACTGTTAGTAGATTAATCAATGGTAGTGGAAGAGCAAAGGTTGGAACGAGTAGTACAACAAAGGCTTGCATTGGTAAGACCACATTAGTCATTAATAGAGTTTTAAAAAATACCACCACAATCAGCGTATATACAACGAATATGCTGCCCCAAAGAGTACTAAGAAAAGTTAGTGGGCTAAGACGATGAGGATATGATGCTTTTGACCACCATTTACTATGTCCCAGAGTATTTTGCCATCTGTGCGTAAAATACACCATAATTTTGACAGCAAATATTAATATTTGGTGCCATTGAATAGCGTTTGTTAATGTCTCAATGATATTATTCCATCTGAAAAAGAACATAACACATACGATATTGTGATCCGTAGCTAAAAAGGGTGATGATATTTCGTTAAGCAACACACTAGAATTTCGGCAATAAGCAGAGACATTTAACCATGGTGCTGTATAAGATCGAAATGCATTTGCAGGATTGAAAAATTCACTTGCTGACATATTCAAATAAGTGGTTGATCTTATTGAACATCCAGTTTCGTATTTTGGATTGCCTTCCACAAACAGTAAATATGTTTCGCATGTTTCAACTGTCCGTTCACTTCGAAACATCTTATCAATAATTAAGATAGATAATATCAATGCTTCAGTTGGGGCTAACACACTGATTGCATAATTGGTAAAAAGTTTCGGATAATTTGATGTTATCGTTCTTTCATTTACTCGATATGCATTTTTATGTTCAGGTATTTGAGTTGCTAAACGGCAACCATTGTTAGCCGTCTTATATTTTATCACACTGAAACATATCCGTTCGATGATACCATTGGTGAAGAGATTTACACACTCTGCAGCAATATCTTTGAAGACTGGCCACTTCGTGTAGATTGATAGCAAAGAGCTTATAAACCAAATAGTCGCTGGACCAAAACCAATTAATAGGATAATAATTCCCAGACACTTTTCTACCGTTTCTGAAGAAGTTTGTACTTCATCAACCAGATAGGATATGAGTGATCCATTCATTTTATAATATTTGAAGCACCCTAACAGAGAAAGAACAATGCTAAAAAAGTAAAACATAAATTAGCATACACTTCTCTTGTCATTAGGATGGTGGTGGGTATGGGTGTGAGTGTGGGGTGGTGACATTAATAAGAGTCTCTACCCACACCCACACCCTCAAGTTCAACTAGACTCTGCGTAATCCAATATAGCTTATTTTTCTGTTATTCATTTCACTATTCGATGTCAATCTCCTCTTGCTGTTTGCTTATGCATAAGTCATCCATAGCAAACATTGTTCCACTATAATGTGGAAAACCTGCAGAAGTTCCACCATAGGATGTAAAATTGAGTCTTTCGATGTTAGTCCAATGTAAATCAATGACACTGGTTGCTGTAGCCTGAAGAATTACATTACTAGTATAAACAATGTAACTCGAACGATATCCTAGTATTGAAAGTCTTAAATTATTATTCCAGACTCCAGCAGCTAGGAGTGATTTAACATTAAATGTTTGACTTGGAAGAGCAGCAATACTAGCCGTGCGAGCCTGGTTATTGTAGACAACATGTTGTCTAGTGCCACCTTTGACAAGTGTCATGCAGCCTGAACTGGGGTTATGTGAACTGAACCAAAGCTGGCGGGAACCAAACATGAGGCCAAAATCCTTGTTTTACCAAATCTCAATAGGATGAAAATTGATCTTAAATTTTCTCTTCTATGCTAGAAAACTTCAAAGTATCTAGCATAAACTTCGCGGATTCCTAGTTTTTTTACTTCAAAATTTTCTCAAAGATTTCGAGCAATGGCTTCCGAAAAATTTTCACGAATGTCTAAACTAGAGGTAGGAAGTTATCGTTACCAGTTACCAGGAACAGTGTAACGGTGCTACAACAGGAAGGTGCCCTCAGGTCTTCAAGTTCTATGATTAGGATACCCATGGGCTCTGAAGTCCTACTATTGGAGGTATCTTTAGGTCCACAAGTCTTACTATTGGGAAGCACACTTACATCCGCAAGCTCTGTTACTAGGAGTATCCTTGGGTGCTCAAGTCCTACTATTGAAGATACCTTTAGGTCCTCAAGTCTTACTATTGGGGGTACCTTTGGGTGCTCGAGTCCTATTATTGGGGTACCCTTGGGTTCTCAAGTCCTATTACTGGGAGTACCCTTAGGTCCTCAAGTTCTACTACTATGGGCACTCTTAGGTTCTCAAGGCCTACTATTGTGGGATATCCTTGGATCCTCAGGCTCTACTATTGGGGGTACCCCTAGATCCTCAAGTTCTATTACTAGGAGGTATCCTTGGATTCTCAAGTGCTATTACTAGGGGTACCCTTGGGTTCTCGATTCTTACTATTGGGGTATCCTTGGGTTCTCAGGTCCTACTATTGGGAGTACCCCTAACTCCTCAAGTTCTATTACTAGGGGTACTCTTGGGTCCTAAAGTCCTACTATTGGGGACCCTTAGGTCCTGAAGTCCTACTATATGGGCATACCTTGAGTCCTGAAGTATCTTTGCGCTTAAGTTCTGGTCCCTAGTCGGTACCATTCGATCGTCTTAGATGGACGTGGGTGTGGGTGTGGGTGTGGTGTGGGTGTGGGTGTGGTGTGGGTGTGGGTGTGGGTATCAGACTGTCTTCGAAAACACATCCACATCCGCACCCACACCCACACTCACACCCTTTTCACATGAGTATTTGTAAAGCATGCGTCTGGTTGGTATATGTTGTGTAATCTCTTCCTTCTGACTCATATCGCCCGACGACAAAAGAATTATGCCATAAAATTTTGTCAAAAGTAAAAAAAAGATGTCTCCCAGGTGTGTGCTCCACTCATTTCTTTCTTTTCTACGCCAATGGCAACTGCTTTTTCCACTGCAACTGGTGACCATAAAGCTTCCGTAGTCACTGATGTTACAGTTCACGACAGCGCTGAACAAACAAAGATCACCTCCGAAATCGTAACTCGAAACAACCACGAACTCATTTGTTTACTCGATGAGTAGAACACGTGCAACCCAGATATAGGCCACGCATTTTTTAGGCTATGGAGCCAGACTGATAATACACGGCTAGTTGCTTCAAGGGCGTCATCGAACACTCCACCCGATGTCTTTGTCATTAGTCTACTTGGTAATACACGTAGTGGTAAGAGTTTCGTGGTTCGATATTTGCTTTCTGACTCCGAGGATGAAACTGAGAGTGATACGTTTGATCGTCCTTTCTTCTTCGACGATGATTCAGAAGGATCAACCACAGCTAATGTGATGTATTTCGAATCGAATACCATTCTTCCTGCAGATTCAAATACGAACTGCTTACTTCTTGATTTTGAAGGTGAAGAGGGCGCATCTTTGCTTCGTCTCTTACGACCTTTACATCTCGATCGACCCTGGACATCTGACCACATCAGACGGCGAGGTGAAGCAATCTCAAAGTATTTTCCCAGGCTCGCCTATATACTGAGCAATGTTGTCATTCTCTTGAGTGAACAAGATTTTGCTGTTGCAAGTTATGGTGACCGATGTTGCGATTTTGCAACCTGTGCGACGCGTGGTCTCTATCACAATCTTTACAAACCTGTTCTTATCCTCGCACATAATCAAGCAACTGGTGGCAAATCTCTCGGTATGGTTACGGATGATTTTTTTCGCATGCACCGAGACCAAGGCGACAAGCTTCGCAACTTCTTCTCTGACATTCACTGTTTCCGATTTCCATACAGAGATGAAATGAGATATAAGGGCCGAGTGATTGACGGCAAATCCATTTTTACTCATCAAATGATGGAATTGAGAAAATTGTTCATCTCGATACATAAGCAACAACGCTATCGTACAATGTCCTTTCATCACTGGCTCTTGATCACAGAACGCGTTCTAGATAAGCTTGCAAATGGGGAAACAGTTATGATGCATATGCTACTTCGTGAAACGATTGTGAAAAATGTCGATGATCTCGAAAACATAACAATTATGCATCTTTTTCATCATTTACTCCGCAAGAATCTCGTTCATTCAACACGGTGGTTCCATTTTTGTAGAGAATTTACCATGCGCATATTGGCACGAGCTACTGCCATACGTCTTCTTGACAATCAGAAAAATATTCCCGATGCAATTATCAACTTAGAATGTTGAACACGCCTCGATCAATTATGGAGAATGCTCGACGAATTTCGTCCATGTGAGGCTTTGTATATGGGTGAAGGCTACGCGGCTGAGCGAGATCGGCCCATATTCTGTTTTCAACATAAAGCATATCATAGTGAACATCAGACATCTGAGGCAGTGTACGGTTTAAATTGGTTTTACGATCGTATCCTATGGCCACTAGTCGTGAGCTGGAACGGCACTTTCCAAAGCAACGATAAGTCATCTGAAATGCCCTCGATTGAAATGTACGACCAGCTTTATCATGATATTAAACATTACCTAGAAGAACTGATCCACTCGCCTAGGTCCATCTATACGAGGTACGAACTGCTACTGCATGAATACGATATATCTGTCGCGCCTGAGGAATTCTACCGTGGTTTATGCTACTGCTGTTTGAAAGAAAAGATGTTTCAGACTCGTTTTACCAAATACAATAAAACCATATGCTCCCCATGCCGCGATGAATTTGCTATGCGTCATCTAAATGCTCTCGCTTTCTTACGCGCTCCTCCACCTGCAAAAGAAGATGAATGTATCATTTGCATGGCCGCTCCCCGAAAGGCAGCGCTAGTACCATGCGGTCACTATGCATTTTGCCATGATTGTGCGAAAAATATGTTGCTTAATTTCAAAGTATGTCCACTATGCAAGAAAGAAGTGACAAATATTCAACCGATAATCGTGTCCTAACTTCATGAATGCCCTATAAAAAGTTGTAAGAGCTCCATGAGGAACGTTGGCACCAGTTATTGTCAGGGTGTGGGTGTAGGTATGCATGCATATGACAATTGTACCCACACCCACACACCCGCACCCAAAATAGTACAAGTATCAATATTGTACTGAATGAAGAACAGTCAAATTTATAATAAATACTATGTGGCTACTATGTAGCATATAAAGTCATGTTTATTGGGCTTCTAAACAAAGCGAATCTCTTAAGAAATATTTTGAATGCCTGTAATAGTAGCCTAAAAGCACTGAAAAAGTTCAAACTATTGAACGAAAGAAGGAAAAATGAAGTCATAGAGCATGTATTTATCAATGCTCTATTGAAATATGTTCATTTTAACATGTATATCATAGATCTCATTGTATCACAACTCCGATAGGGAATCATCCCATTTTACACAGAGAGTAAGAGACTGCTTTTCACTGAACGAATCTAAAGAGTAATTTCTGCTTTATCAGAACGTGTTTCAGGTCAGTGCCCATTATTGTAGAGGAAAGGAATAGGTTTGCTACTCTTTATTCTAGCTACTACTACTTTGCTACGCTGGAATTCCACAGCATCTACAGTGGCGGGGATGGCTTTTGGTACGTCAGGTGTGGCTGCAAACCAATTAAATATTTCATATAGTTTAGCATTGGATGCAAACAATTCATTGTACATCACTGACTGTTCGAACAATCGAATTCAAAAATGGTTGCTTGCGGCATCTACAGGTATAACAGTAGCCGGTCAGGCTAATGGAGCTACGAGTGCAACGTCGACCAGTTTGCCAATGCTCGTGGGTATTGTTCTGGACTTCAGCGGCAACATGTATTTCACCGATAGAAACAATCATAGAGTAATGGACTGGGCTTATGGTGCCTCATCAGGCACAAGAATCGCTGGCATTACAGGTAAGATAGATGCATGAAAGTAAGAACAGGTACACTAATATTCAATTCATCGTTTCAGTTCTCATGTCCTTTTTTCTTCTTTACTTCAAATCACGGAGTGCAACATTTTTTATAATTTAATTATAACGGTTTTGGTCCATTTGAAGTCGGTTTTGTCATAAACACCATTAATTTTCGTGCTAATTACTGCGTCATAATTCTATGTAACTTGAAATGAAATTTATCGCTTGTTCTACTGTCTAGCTCTGATAAAGGTTGGAAAAAATTTTCTCTTAATGACAAATAATTCTGAATCGATCATTTTTAGACCCTAACCCAATGTATAGTTGCGAATTTCTGATACGTATTTTCTTCGTATCTTAGACAACGAAATCTCGAGAAATGGACGTTTTTGTTGATGGAAAGTGAAAGTTCGATTCGACAATAAGGAACAGTTCTTTTTTCTTTGAAAAACGTTACTTTCAAATATTCTGACACATTATCATAAACTGCTTGAATGTCTATGAAATTTCTTATATAATTTCATTCAGGATCTGCCCGAAGTGCAAATAACCAATTATGGAATCCTTCTGGTCTTGTAAGAATTTGAAGCTCGGGCACACTTTACATTGCTGATACATTCAATCATCGTATAACGAGATATCTGTCAGATGCACCATCAGGTTCTGCTGTTGCTGGTGGCAATGGAGCCGGCACCGGCAGCACTCAATTAAACACGCCTTACAGTTTTGCATTCGATTCATCATCGAATAGTTTTTTGATTGACAACTATAATTCTCACAATGTTGTCCGTTGGATATTGGGAGCTACTACGTAGTTGGACTCTTGTAGCTGGAATCACTGGATCGGCTGGTAGTACATCGACAAGCTTGAACTGTCCTTTGGGTGTAGCACTAGATCCCGTGGGAAACATGTATATAGCTGATACGAGTAATCATCGTATTCAACTTTTCTCGGCTGGTCAATCGAATGGAACAACCATTGCAGGAATTACAGGTTCGTCTGGTACAAGTCCTAGCCAATTGGCAAGAGCGTATTGGGCCATTCTCGACAATAATCTTAATTTATACGTTGCAGACACATTCAATCACCGAATTCAAAAATTTGAACACTATTAAATGAGAGTTTAACTAGTTCATATAAGCATACCTAGAAGTTCAAATATTATTGATTACAGTTTCTTTTTCTTTTTTCCTACACTATTGTCACATTTGAGGACTTTAGCAGTCGTGCACTAATAATGACTGCAAAAATACAAGATCTAACCAACAATATTTGATGCAATCCCTGCACGATTACAGTCGATCTTTGCATAAAAAAGAGTCGTGTTCATATAATGTCTGACGGCGTATGGACGTACCTTAATTTATGATAGGGCATGCAATTAAGCACTTAAAATATAATGTAGCTCCATGTGCAATCATTGATACAAATCTCTGTTTATTTATATATTTGATTATATCTTTTTAAAATATCTTTCTTAAAAAGAAAATATTCAGCATCAAACAAAGAATATTTCATTCTTTGAACGTTAAAATTATTCGAAGTCGATATATTGTAAAACTAGTTCTTATGATCAACGGTGGCTTGATGATCATGAAACGGAACAAGTAATAAATGCATGATTGTTCACATTGACATATTACTACTGTTGAATGTTTGTCAGTTTTTAAAATGTTTATTTCATAGAAATGTTGTTTAATTAATTATCTACACCATTGAGTAGATCAGCGTTTTGTTTAAGAAATTAAACAGAAGATTTGAGTCATAGGACATCAGATCACGAAGTAGTTTACGAAAACAAAAAAACAATTTGTCTTTTTGTTGAAATGCACAACTAACTCTGATGGATTGAAACAAAAGAATGAAGATTATTGTAAAGAAATAACAACTATGTAATAACAAATTCTTTCTTTTCTACCAATTTCTCGTGCTTCATAATGATCATAAATTACTAAACTATTTTCTCATAGAGTTAGAAAAAAAATGTGTAATTACCCATCACTATTCAAAGAATTTTATCATGAGAAGCAAGGTTTCTTTCGGAAAATAATGGATAACTCTGAACGGTCGTATCTCAAAAACTTCATATGGTAAAACAATGTGATTTGATGCAATACAGAAGAACATTTCAATTATTAAATAAATGAATTAGATAAGGTGCAAAAAGAAGTGGCATTTTCTTTATTGGGTGTGGATCAGAATACACTCCAACACCCCATACCCACACCCGCATCCACACTCTTGTTTAAGTATGGTAAAATCCATTGAATGGATCGTTCTATATATGCATCGACTAAAACAACTTGAAGTCATCAAACATGTATCGAATATTCCATTAGCTTTGAGGAAACTTCTAATCTTGACGATTTCTTAATTCATTTTGTGTATTATTTTCAATAATATGACTGATGTCTATTTTAATAAAATCGAATTATATGCCTCGAAATTATCTATTCAGAAGATATTTGAACAATAGAATTCGATGCCACTTGTAAACCATTTTTTTATTTTGATCATGATGCTTCTGTGTGCACAGATTGAACTGTTCCATAGATCCATGAAAAATTAAATTCATCACATTTTACTTTTATGCTATGGAAGTTACTATCACCTTCATATTTTTCACATTAGCTCCTCTGGTTCTACAAACTCCTATAGTTATTTTAGTCTCTTTCAAGTGCAGGTCTGAGTTACTATTAGCTTAATTCATATCCACATAACATGACGATAATAAACGTATTCGTCTCCATATCAAAGGCCTGCTATCTGAACAATCTCTATCGCATATCAATATCAAAGTTAGGAGTGAATCTTGATAACAGTTTTTAGGCACAACCAAGGGCTACTTCTCGAGTAATTAAATGATTCATTTTCTCTATCAACTGAATTTTGTAATCATGCATTTGATTACATACCACGAAGACACAACAAGAAGTTTGAATAATATTTCACAATCTTGAAACAAGTACACATCATTCGATGCATGATGCTTTGTTTACTATTTGATTTTTTCGTGTATTCTTAGCATATCTCTTTGTTCATTGTATCATTTCAAGTTGAACAATGATGCAACGTTGCTAATCAAACAAAATACTGCAGTTATAGTTCTCAATTATTATGAAAACGAGTTCAAAGAAGGTTAGTTGTCACACTTATAGAACTGAGACACAGCAAACTTCTTTGTTAATAGCAAAGCGAAAAATTGTGGCATAAAATCAACATGATCTGTTCGAGATAATAGCGTAGATAGAGAATACTCTAGCTACTAATAAATTTTAAGTTCAAATAAATTGTCAAAATTCTTTATACGAGGTCTATGTAATATGAGACTCAGCCAAAGTTAAAAATTCAGAGGCATTTAACACTCTTGAATAAAACGTTAAATCATCTATTTCTCCATACATCTTCGTATAATTAAAAGCTGGAATTCTAGCAAAACATTTCATTTGTTCAAAATTATCAGGCTTATTCGGGTCAGAATCATCCAAGTATGCACCTCCGACGGTCACAGAAAATCGTGGATCATCAGAGATGACCAATGAGAAACGTCGATGCGTGTATCTAGCAATCAGTTTGCCATTTTCATAAAATAAATATGTATCCGGACTTTCGTATGCTACACCAATATGAACCCAAGTGTTATTCCCAATGAATGAACCACTAACATTGACTAGTTGGAAAATGCCCGGGAAAAAATATCCCAAAGTCTGATTTTCCTGGTAAACATGTATACTCATGACACATGTATAACTGTCTGATGATAGTGCAGGTATCGAAGATGTTAGCTGTAACACAGCTATCGCACTGTTAGCTTTCTCCGGTTTCTGTAGTTTTAAACGAAGCCAGAAAGCTACCGAATATTCATAGGCATTTGAGTGCAATAGAGTGAATCCACTTGATTGAAAATACGAGTCACTATCATTGAAAAGAAGACTACTCTGATTGTACCACAATGATCGATAGACATGTTGACTGCGTGCTCGAATATTATTCGGACCCCATCCAGCATTGATATCATCGCTATTGAACCTATATTGACATAATATAGTTGCTTCATAACGAATTACACTAGCATTTTTCACTGCATACAAAATACACAAACTATCAATGAGACCATAGAATGGTCGCGTCTTTGTTACTGCATTTAGTCCTATATAGGATACTTTGGTTTTGTCCACTTGTGGTGAGATTTTATAAGTCAAATTCAAATAGCTTCTTTCGATTTCGATACCATTGAAATAGAAAATAGTTAATCTAGTTTGACGATCAAATGAGTACGCTACATGAATCCAACAAGATTGACAAATATAGTCCTGGACAGAAACAGAGACTTCCTGTAGTAAACTTGCATTGTCCCAATTTGAAAGCTGAATATTAATAGTTGTATCAGTGATACTAAAGCTGATACATGTTGGATTAAAGTTATTACAGTCACTTAAAATAGTTTTTCTCAGATAACCAGCCACTAATAACCAAGCAGATACTGTGAAGCTTGTATTGAGTGTTAGATTCAATGAACGAGGAAGAATAACGTATTGATATTGTTTCCTATCCAAATACAATGCCTGACCTTGCCCAGAAAAGTCAGGTGAAACGGTTTTAGAACCATTTACAAATGTACCATTGTACAAACCAGTCAAATCTTCTCGAGCATCACCACAATCAAATGACCAAAAATAATCCATTACCAGGTTCGGTCTTCGAGGCCAACATACTAAATAGATGAACAATTATTATCAAACGACAGAAAATAAACTAAGAGCACAGTTCTTGTCCGATCTTGAAATTTCTCAATCTTCTCGAAAACTTACCTAGAAATTTCGATAAACAAAACAGGTTTCTCTTGTGAGAGAATTTTTCTGAGGGATAGTTTCGCTAGATTTGTGTCGACATCAAAGATTTTCCGCTTACGGTCGGATGATAAAAATTTCTGACCATGGTTTCTACTTTTTCTACTTATGTAGCATTATCTAGAACTCAAAGACAAATTTAAAAGATTTCCTTATATTAAGTTTTTACTTGTCAGAATGAATATTGAACCAATAAATAACCTTTAGACTTAGAAGTTCAAAAAAGTAATGAATTACCCAGATAAANCCATAGAAGGGCTTCGCCTTCGTCACTGCATTTAATCCGATATAGGATATTTTTGCTTTGTTCTCTCGTGATAAGATTTCATGAAACAAATTCAAATATTTTCTTTCGATTTCGATACCATTGAAATAGAAAATAGTCAATCCAGTTTGACGATCAAATGAGAACGCTACATGGATCCAACATGATTGACAAATATATTCCTGAACAGAAACAGAGACTTCCTGCAGTATAGTTGCATTATCCCAATTTGAAGCCTGAATGCTAATAGTTGTATCAGTGATGATAAAGCTGATACATATTGGATTCAAGTTATTACAGTCACTCAAAATAGTTTTTGTCAGATAGCCAGCTACTAAAAGCCAAGCAGATACTGTGAAGCTTGTATTCAGTGTTAGATTCAATGAGCGAGGAAGAATGAGGTATTGATATTTTTTCCTATCCAAATACAACGCCTTGCCTTGCCCGGAAAAGTCAGGTGAAACGGTTCCAGAACCATTTACAAATGTACCATTGTACAAACCGGTCAAATCTTCTCGAGCATCACCACAATCAAATGACCAAAAATAATCAATTATCAGGTTCGGCCTTCGAGGTCTACATACTAAACAGATGAGCAATTATTATCAGAGAACAGAAAATAAGACAAGAGCACACTTATTTTTCGATCTTGAAATTTCTCAATTTTCATGGAAACTCACCAAGAAATTTCGATCGACGAAAGATATTTCTCTTGAGATCACTGCTTTCTGAGAGACAGTTTCGCTCGGGTTGTGTGTGCATCAAAGATTCTACTTATGTAGCATTATCTAGAACTCAAAGACAAATCCAAAAGGCTTTCTTACAATAAACTTCCGCTTGAAAGAGTGAATATTGAACCAGTAAATACCTGTTAGACTTAAAAAGCCAGAAACATAATGAATCACTCTGATGAATTTTGTCAAAACTGCAAAAAACAATACGTCTGATGATGAAATAGAGGTAAGAATGTATCCATTTCAAATTCATTGATGACAACCGACAATTTAATGAGACAAATACAATGAATTTGATTTGTAATCAAAATCATGGAATTAAATTAAGAAAATATTTGTTTTTAATCGATGAATTTGGAATACATTCATTTTTATGTCGGTTTTATCATTTTAATGCATTTTTTTTTTGATTTTTCAAGTCTTTGGGTTAGACAATATTCATCAGCAATAAATCATCTTCAGTTAATTCTAATAATAGAATCAAGTACACTGGCGTCCTAAATCCTCTCCTATTTGTGATTATTTTCGAAGAAATTTGGAAATGTTAGCCGAGTCTACGAATGTTGCGTACGATGAATGCTGCGCACGGGATAAAAGAAAAATCATATTTTATATTTCGACAGAGAATAAAAACAAAAAGATGTAGCAAAAACAACAAAATATATATTTTATTTCCAAAAGCATCAATATAACCATCAAAGTAGGATGTGAGATGGATGTCACGTGGGTGTGGGCAGACTATGCACCTACGCTAGTGCGTATGGGTGTGTTCGTGTAGGTGTGTGAGCGTGAATAAGTGTGTGTGTTGACCAAGAAAAAACTCACGCGCCCATACCTGACACCCACAAATCACCACCCCGTCACACCCACGCCAACGCCCACACATTCATACTCACACTCACATCCACACCTTCGTTATGCGTAACATTCGGGATCCCGTGTTCGTCAATGGTTGAGTCACATTTACTCTGGGAGGGTGACATTTTTCTAATGGATCGCTCATGGAAAATCTCCAGCAGACTCAAAGTGAGATGTTATTTCAATCAGTTTCTAGCTTCTCATAATGCGTCAGCGTCTCAAGTTTCTGCTAGTTCAGGTTGGCAACGAAATGCGAACATTTCCGAGACGAAAGCTGATGCAACATACTTGGAGGTGGTGGTGGTCGTCTCGAACCAAGTACTGCACCAACAATCATACCAACAATGCAGATTATGATGATTAGAGTTAGTTCAAATATTGTTCGCTTTTTCTTGTACCAAGGTTTTTTCTTGTTCTCAGGCGGATAGAGAAGAGCTCCTAAAACAAAAAATTCAAACATTTGTTCATATATTTCTCTCTCTCTCAAATTTGCCTTCAAACGGAAGTTCGAGAAGAGTTTCGACCGGTTTTATTTGCTTCAAATGAATGATATGAAGATCAGTTGCGGGACTAAACTGTGATTGAACTTCCATGCGTGTACCAGGCAAAAGAAGAATTTCATCTTCCATAACGAAATGTGAATGAGCTTGCAGCGTTCGACCATTGATTGCTTCGACCGAGAAAAGAGTTCTCTCACCTTCTGAACCTAGGTACATATTATTTTCCAATACAGGCAGTGCAGAAGTGCACGAG